AATCCAAAAAGCACAGGTGTGCTACTTCCACTCATTCAGGATATAGTACTGTAATAACATTAAACTGGCTTTTTGATGACTGTTAATGTTATCATATCCTCTTAGGTTTCCTACTGTAATACATTTAATGGTCAGAATCAAGGGGAAGTTTTTGATTCTGTTGGAGCAAAGTGATGATTTGCCTACACAGAAACAGCTTTCCTGCCATCTGCCCTAAGCAACAGCTGCATTAGCTACAGACAGATGTACTCTTGTGTTTTGTATACTGCTAGCATATACAAATATCAGACTTTGTCAGCTTTAAAGAATCTACTGAACAAGGTAGAAAAGGTTCTTACTATGGCGTTTCTTTGTTTCTGCTTTACCTTCTTCTTTTGTTACTCCCAAGCAGCCCATTAATTCTTGAACTGATAAGGACTTATCATTGTTCACATCACAGTATTCCACAAACTTCTTCACACATTTTTTGGGTTTTGATTTCTTTCTTAGGAATCTCTTAAATGGCTTGATTTCTTTCTTGCCAATGTCACCACTGGAATTTTTATCTAGCTGTTTGAAATACCAATGGACCACTCTCTCTTCCAGGGTATGATTTGGATCAGGCTCTGAAACTCTGAAACAGAAAACAAGAGTTTAGTCTTAATTCTGATACATAAACCTCAGTTTACACCTTTATTTCAGAATACTTAAATCGCTGTTGGATGTTTTGTTACATAAACCTCCCTGCTTTTGGCCACTAGCTTCTTGTAGTGAATCCCTCTTTTTTTAAATTTGGCCTAAATCTTACACTAAGGGCTGGAATCTGCTCTTAGTTAACTCTCTGAAACTGTGTTGGGGTCAGCACCGCACTCAGAAAACAGTGCTTTCCCCTTTCATTTCCTGAAACAGAGGAAAGTGAAGAGAGAAATAAAAAAGAAAAAGACAGTTTCATAGATGGCAGACACATTAAGATGCGTAATATACCCAAATGAAGTAGGTCAACAGTCAGCATCACCAAATACCTAGGCTCCAATTGCAACCCATGATGGATGCTCTTAGAGATAAAACACCTAAATGTATTGAACTACAGGGTAAGTTATAACCATAAATGCCACCTCCTCTTCAGATGGTAAGCACCTGACCTGAAGACACCCAAAGTTTGACAACACTTCTGCATTTTTAATTCTACCTGTGACTAGGTAGCATTGGTTTGCTTTACAAGCAACTAGGCAAAATATGAATCAGGAAGGTAGCACACATTCATCAAGTAAAGTCTGAGAGGAGAACAGAGACTTAGACACAGTTGCACCAGCAGCTACAGATAAACTCTAAGCTCTGCTGCTGCTGAGAATTCAGCTATCATCAAGTGCATCTCTGTTTAGTGGACATAGTCCACAGTGGTAACTTTGAAGTAAACACTCTTAGATAGGTTCTTGGAAATTTACCCTTTGTGAAGGCAGAAGAAGAATTACTTCTCAAAGCCCTCAACAATTCATTCACCACTGCCAGAATCCTTTTAAAGCCACACGAAAAGGATCTAAAACCCACCGGCTAGAAGACAATGATGGATCAGAGACTGCATGCACCATATCCGTGGATAATGCATCCAAAACACTAGTCAGGAACTCATTCTTCTTGGCCCCAGGACAACCTAGAAAACCAGATTTTTTTCTTTTCTTGTTTTATCTTTTTACAACATTTAAATTCCAACAATAGTTCAAACTTAGAGATAGATGTGACTCCCTGTACACAAATTCCCATAAATTGTGGACAAGTTCATAACATAATTCAAAGACAAGCATCTAAATTCAGGTTCATATCTGTAATGTAAAGCAGGAATAGAAAAACATCCTTTTGAACTCAAGCAAGTGGGAATATGGTTTGCATACCTTGCGTCCCTTTCTTTCAATTTTGGCCATTATTTTTCTTTCTTTAAGATATTTTTTCCATGGATGTCACATTTTGAAAAAAACAGCTTTGAAACAACAGAAGTTCGTACATGACACAGACCATTGGAAACATGGACTAGAAGCCCATAGCACAATACTTCTTTCAGATTTCCACTTTTGCTCCTCTGAACTACCACTGGCTTTCTCAACAATCATTGTCTCAGTGCATTGGTTTTCCTCTCTGTAAAATGACAGTCAACTCCTTTCCTCGTTCACTTTTCTCTTGGACAGGGGTCAACTCCCACCATATGGCACCTAGCCCAATAAGATGCTGTTAGTTGGTACTTTGGTTCATACTGTGGGATCCTATGGTGATGCTAGATCATCCTTATGATTACATTCCCTATGCCACAAAGTTCTTCTCTGAAAGAAACTGACAGCACATTTCAGACACATAATACTTCAGAGATATATATATACTGAAAGATCCAGTCTTAAAGCAGTGCAGCTGGAGCAGATAAATTCATCTGACAAGCGCATGGATGTTGACACACGGAGGTTTGCTTATGCAATACACCTGCTTCCTCTCCTCTTCCCTAGAGCCCTGAGCCAAACACCAGGTCTTCCCCTAGCCCTGTAATAGCTGAGTTGAAGTCTAGGATGATCCATGGGCAGTGACATAGAGATGACAAACTTGAAGCTGGAGCCCATGGCAGGACTTTCACAGCCGACTCTGTGCTGGAGGCCCGCTTACCCGCAGTTCTGTTCTTAAGTGAAAAAGGGAAACACTTTGAAGTGTCGTGGAAAAGGAAGATTAGTCAATCAGTGGGGATTTGTTATTTCATTACACTTCTCTGTGACCTCTGGAGCAGGCAGTAGGATTATTTGAGCCTGAAAAGCCTCATCTTGCCCAGCAAATTATTTTTTAATACATCCCATGTTGATCCAAGGAAATGAACCTATGTTATATTAGCCCTTAGCTGTGTTGCAGTAAGAATAGCTCAGCTATTATGTATAGCAGCAGCACCCACTACATATTATTGTCTAACACATTCATGCAGTTATGAGTTCCCTGTCTCTTATGTGTTTGCCTTCAGCACCAGGGACATTTTATTCCAGTAACTGTAAAAGGTGTATAACAGGAATTCACTGAAGCAAGTCTCACTGCACTAAAAGTACACATCTGAAACCAGATGTTACTCTGCTAGATATGTTCCTCTTCCCTTGGCCTTTAACGAGGTTTTTTTTTCCTGTTACAACTGGAAAAAAAAGAAAAAAGAAAAAAAGAAAATCCCAACCCAACAGCTATGACTATAATCCTAAATTTGAGTTCAGTGAGACAAGCACTTGAGCTTTCTCTGTAAGGCACAGAAATGACAAGGGTGACAAGAGATTAATAGGGAGGGACAGAAGGCTATACCAAAAGGTTCCTGGCAGCATTCAGTGCATAATTAAAAACTATATTCTCTAGAGCAAAGAGCTTGCTTGTAAGTAAGGCTCAGACATTGCGACCATGTAAGTAAATTGTGCACTGTGATTTAAATGAAGCCACGTTACTTTGCAAGTCACAAAAGCACATTTGCTCGGAGACAAGCAGGCAGAGCCCAAACAGTTCACATGCAGAAGGCACATCCAGCCATGCTAGCATGGCAACCTGTCTGAATCAAGCAACTAAGTCTCTGAGCAACCTACTGAGCTCAGCACTACATCTTGCTAGCAAGGATACTTGGCCTGTGGACCAGTGCTGCTTCTCTTCAAAGGACAGGCAAAAAGAGGTCTGTCCAAGGCTCTCCACATAGACATATCTTGAATTATACAAGCTTTATCCACTTTGTGCTGGGGTTGTGTTGCTGTCATCAGGCAGAAGCCTGAATTGAGCTCCAAACATGAGTTGTGAATTGATACAGAGCCCATGGAAAATGCAGACAATAATACCTCAGCGTATAACAATGCAGTGCAATATGGAGACAAGATAATTTGACTTTTTTTCTTTCTCTGTCCTTTTTTGGATAGATAATAATGTTAATACCCAATTTTATTTGGGAGGTCCACCTGAATTTTTCCTGTTAGTTATGAGTGTATTCCTGAAACATCTGGAAGAAACAAAAATGTATGCTTTAGGTAGTTTCCACTGCTGTCCAGGGAGCTGCAGTACATATGCTACATATAGATGTAGAAACCAAAATCACTACTTAGCTTGCTATTTATGAGATACAGCTAGGTAGGGTAAAGTATCAACTTCTAAACTCACAAGATATCACGGGGAAAAATTTTCATAGTTTAAAGCCTGTCTCTGACAATTTTCCCTAAGATTAAGAAAGGTTTCTAAATGTGTATTGCATAGAGTTGCAATAGCAGCTGACAGCAATAGAAATCTTCTCATAGAAAAGAAATATTGCTGTTAAAACAAACACAATTGGTTGCTGTGAAACATTCTAAATTATAACTCCACTACTTAACGTAAAATGACACCCTACAAAATCCTCACCAGTTAAATACAGAGAAAATATTCAGTTTTTCCTAATTATAATTTTTGCTGATGTGTGGGCAATCACACAGCAATTTACCTCACAGTGAAATCTCTGTTCTTTGCAGGTGTTATTAACTCAGAATAATTCTCTGGAGGCTTCACGCTGAGCTTTAATTTTCAACAAACTTGCAGATGAAATGGCAAGACTGGGGAGCTTTAGCTTGATTGTAATGAATAATTCACTCTTAGTGGACTAAATACAGAAAGGGAAAGACTAGTCTCTTATGGGAGCCTTATGCTTCTCACTATGGTTTATGTGCTTCAGTTTCATCTTGTGCAGCTGCTTGTCCTGTATGGATTTGACAGCTTACATAAATAATAATTTGTTGTTAAAGGGTTGAAGTTGAAACCACATGGAGTTAACCTACAGGTTCAGAGATGTAACATAGAGTTGAGTGTTTGCTTTAAGGATAGTTTTACCCAGAGTAAACCTTAGACCAACAAATACATACCACAAATGACAGGAATATACAAACACCTCATTTCAGCTATAATATAAAGGTAATCAAAGAATCGTCATTATACATTATATATCTCATATGTACACGTGTCTCTGCATAATTATATCTACCTTTAGTACTGAGGATGGATTTTTGGAGTTAAATCTGTGGGGCAGTTGTCTTCTAAAATATGCACCCAAGTGCCTTAGAGCTCCCTGCTTGGTTGATAATAATCTACTATTGTCAATCTTGGAAGATTATCTTTTACAGAATGTCTGAAGTCATGGCTAGAAAAGTTATTTTGTTCATTTCTGTAAAAATGTGAATACAATAGATAAGATTAATCACTTGAAAAGGGAGTTTACATTAATCTTCCTGCAAAAGAGGAAACTGTCTTGAGTCAGTCACTCAAGTAATTAAAGGCATGACAACTTCCAATCAGCAAATCTAAAGCTTCTTTTTTATTCCCTATTTTTCAATACGAATATCAGGCTTAGCAGTGCACTCAAATACAATGACCAGTGAAATATCTCTGAAGATTATAAATAAGTTTTAATCTGCCAAAAATCATAATGATCAGAACTATTCATGTTTCTTTTGCAGCTTTGACTTTGCTGAAATATACTGGTACACAGGAGAAAAGAATTTAACAAAGTTTGTCAATGCTACTGGTTAGGCTAGGAGAGCAGATGATACAAGGAAAATACTTTTTCTTGGACTTTTATTCTATACACACATATATGTACCGTTCATGAGTTTATTTCTGTTGATCCATATAAATCACAAGTTTGTGTTTGTCTAGATATGCTGAGGGTCCTCCTCATTTTTTGGAGGACTTACCGAGGTCTTCCTGAACCCCATTGCAGAAAAAAAGCCCTTCAAAAGATGAGCCTGGGAACTGAAATTTGTAACTCTGCTGGAGACTAAAAATCATGGACACAACAAACTCAGTGGTTTTATGGCTCATTGCAGTTTTTCCCTCACTGCACCTCCTGGTAACCTCTCACAAACAGTAATTATCTACCTCTTAGTCTCTGTCTTAGAGGGGCTGAGGATATTATCACCTCTCCTGGTTAACATCCCTCAGGTATTACCCTTTTTTTTTTCCTTTCTTTTCTTTTCTTTTTTCTGTCAAATATTCTTACTAACTAAAAGAATTACGTTAAACTCAGAGCCAAATTCTGTTTTATTTGTGCTTACCCAAATTTCAGAAATAACAAAGTAGAATAGAACAGATGTTAGCTGGAGGGGAGCTACAGACCCATTGCTTTGTAGCCCCAGATCTCCATGTTTTATAGGGAAGAAGCATTATTTCTGGAGAAGGGCAGGAAGCAGATTTCAGTCCTCCACATATATTTAACTTTATTTTTGTTACTATTTTAAAATGATCTTTCTGTTCTAATTTCAGAGGGGGGGGGGGAACAAAAGAGTTAACAAAGGATGCTCTTTCAAGGCCCTACCCTTCAATCCCAGGCATTCATATCATGCCGAAGTGCACTGAGTGGGATTTGTTGAACTTGAGCCTGCTGAAATGAGGTGTCTCACCCATAACAGTTATTTAAGCTCAGTATAAAGGAACCCATTCAGAAGGTGTTCATCCCAACTACCTTAGACTTTTTCTTAGAATAGGATAGGATCTCTCTTAAAATGTATCTCTCCTTCCCTGTTAACTACTGAGGAAGCCCAGACAGCTAACTTACACTCCCAGGTGATGTAAAACTGCTTGTGATGGATTCTATATCTATCTGTTTTGTAAATTCATTTAGGCTCAAACTACTCTGTTATTCTTTGG